GAAGTAACAGAAATTATACTTTTATGCATGTTTTCTGTAAAATATGTTTCCATTTATAAGACCATTAAAAATCAATATGAACAGTGTATGCTACATAAGTAGTCGTCTTTTACCGAGTGTGGTTTCTGTATGTTGTTGAAAAGAAAGTGCATTTAAAAGCCGACATCCTGGCGAGCCCAAAATACTATAGGATTATGCTGCAAGAAAATGAGTATCAGAACTCCACCCAAGTAATCCTTCCTAACCGAAATCGCATTTCAGAATTTCGACCAAAATTTCATGAGATCTGTCACTCACCGTACGTCCGGCAGTCGGGACCGTTGATCGTCTTTGTTACAAACATGGTGGGCTCGCTTGCGGAAGAGAAAAGTAGTCCAGCAACTGCAAGTGCCGCTGGCAAGTGTACCTCCGCGTCACTTTCCAAGAACAGGTCTGTATAAGGAGGGTGCTGCTGGTGTTGCAGGCGCCGATTCCGTGAGAATCCAGCCCAACCTCCCGGACAGCGTGGTCTGCACCGACGCGACATTATAATCACCAAGGCAGTCAGTTTGTCCGTCTTCGACACAGTAGCCAGGAGGGCGTGAAGGTCTTCGAACCAGCATTCAGTTACTGATCTCATGAAATGTTGGCTGAAATTCTGAGCTGCGTTCGTAGACTAGGGAGGATTACTTGGCTGGGGTTGTAATACTGAACATCATGCGGCATAATCCTAGGATGTTGGCTTTCGAATACACGTCTTTTCGATCTTCTGTAAAAACCGCATATAGTAAGAAAGACTACAGTAGGTGGGCTAACTCCTGAAATGTTAACCAAAACTCCGAAAGGCGTTTTCGTTTCGAAAAGATAGATTAAGTAGCGTTTTAAAACTAGTCAGCATGCAACATTATTCCATAGTATTTCAGTTACCTCAGGTTGCCGGCTTTCGAACGAACTACTCGCCGGCTGCATGTAAGAACTATACTCTGTAAAAAATGACTGCTTAAGTAGCATGCATTTATCTTACTGGTTTTCAATATTCCTGAAAGTCCAATTATATTTCATACAAAACATGCATAAAAATAATCATTTTTTGGTCATTCGTTAGATAAATACGTTTTCTTCTAAAGCTATGCTCGAAGGAGAGACATTATTCTGTTTAAGAAAAGTTTCTAATTATTGGACTTTTTAATACCGTGAAATGGCTGTTCATAAATCGTCATATCTCTGCATTCACCAATGTGGCTTGTAAAGTTAACAATATGGATTAAATCCACTGCCACATATTATGAACCATATATAGTTCCCATTTATTACTGTGGAGAAATGTGCGGTTTTCCGTACGCGAAAAATAAACGGCTTGTAGTTTGGAAACCCTGAATCCAAGTGTAATGGTAGAGCGGGTTCAAAATTATTCGGGAAATGGAAAAGTTTTTGAAAACCAAATTCTACCCTTTCTTTGAGTATGAGCTTGGAAGAAGGCGAAGTATCTACCGAATGAGCAAAATAATGAATATTTTTATGAATGTTTTCCTTGAAATTCAACTGGACTTTAAGGGGCATCGAAAATCAATGAGAAAAATTCATGCTACACATGCAGTCATTTTTACAGAGTGCAGTTTATGCATGCAGCCGGAAGGGGGTTCATTCGAAAGCCGGCATCCTGCGGTAACTGGAATATTATAGAATTATGTTGCAGCCTGACCAGTTTTAAAACGTAACTTAATCAATCTTTTCAAAACAAAACGCATTTCGGAATTTCGCTTGATATTTATAGATTAGCCCACCTACAGTACATAAGTAATATGCGTTTCTCATGTTTATTTTCGATAACCTTATGGATTCAAGCAAATTTCATAGAAAGCATACAAAAAGGTGCCTTTGTTACTCCTTGTGTAGCAAACACGTCGTTCTCAAATTTCATACTTAAAGGAGGAGTTCCTTTTACTTTTAAGGGGCTTCTAGTCAGGAGATTTTTTAAGGTTCTGCACTGACCCTTCATACAGCATCCTACCTCTTTGTTTATTTATGCTCATCATGAGGTAAACAACATAGTCGGCATCCATTGCAAAATTTTACGAACTCTTCATGGTATATTCTTAAAAGCATTGGGGAACATATGATTCGCCTTGCTCGAAAAGTATACATCTTGTAGAGTGAAATCTAAAAACGCTAATGCAGCAACCGATCTGGTTCAAAATTATTCGGGGATCGGAAACCTTTTTCACAATCTAAATATGCCTTTTCTTCGGGTATAAAATGTGAAGACGAAATGATTTGCTACTAAATGAGCAAAAGAAAGCGTATTTTTTGCATGTCTTCTATAAGATATATTGGAATCTATGAGTGTACGAAAAATCAAATGTGAGGGATACTACTACTTATGTGGTCATTTTTTGCCGAGTGTGGATTTTGAAGGCGGTCGAAAGAGATAGATTCAAAAGCCAACCTCCTGGCGACTCCGAAACACCATTTGGATTATGCGTATGATAATTAATAATACAGTCTTATATAAGTAATCTTTCCTAATCGAAAACGCCGGAAAGAATTCAGGCCGAGAAGCAATTGAAGCCTGGGCCTCAGATGAGAACTCAGTCGATCGATTTATCGATCTGGCATCGGCGTACAGAGCCCAGCGCAGTCACCTCTAGGCTTGCGCCGCCGGTCGATGATTGGCTAACACGTCCTATGACTGTCGCTTGTTCCGCTGTCGCTACTATCTCTTACGATGGACTCCTACAGGAGCTCGAAAACTCAGGACAATAGACAGAATGTTACGATGCTTAACCGCCCTTCTTCTTTACTTGTGCAAGCGAGAGCACCGAGTCACAGGAAAGGCCAAGTGATCTAGTGTCTCCATCAAAAAGGACTATAGGTGTTCCAAGTTCGACGCCATTTTCGGCTTGCTAAAACTTGGCGTATGCGCTGAAATTCATGACTGCCAAGTTTACTTTATCACGGAAATACCGTCTTGCAACCAAACACCCGAACTACGACTAACTGCGAGTTTGCAAATTCACCATAACCCTCTGAAGCAGTTGGTCCGTCTAGCTTATGGGACGATTAAGGTTATTTGATGTGATCACTGGCGTGACGCCCTAAAACCTTTAGGGCACGATCACGGAGTTACGAACCTTTTTTCGATTCGCGCCCAAACCCCACAAAGATCAATACTTGTATTCGAAATGTACCGTGACCAGCATGGTCTCGGGGACGCATAAATAACTGCTGTTTGACAAGTCAAAACACGTGTTTTCGGCAACTTGCTGTCAAGCCAGTACAGTTACAAATACATTGAAAATATGAGAAGTTCACAGGGTTTTATTAGTGACTCGGGGGCTATCAACACTCATCGTTCCCACGTCACGCTCATGACGAGGTCGGCGTTTCGGGGTTATTGGGGCAGGGGAGGGGGGGTGACATAGGCTGTGAGTGGTTTGTAAGTCGGGTACGTTGAGCACACATCACTGCTATCAGAAGGCTGGAGCGGCTTGCAGTAATCATCTGGGGTCGGCGTTGACCACGGAAGACAGAGCGCCTGTGTCAACGTCTTCTGACAACAGTGCATTCGCTAGCCGTATAGCCACTGTCTCGAATGTAGCTAGCACCCGTTGGCGTATGCCTCTGGAGAGGCCTGCTGTCTAATTATTGCCCACTAAGTAGTGCATATTGGTAACCTTAGTAAGAGCTATGCGACCTATTTCTCCTAACTTGAGGACGTGAAAGTTTTATCTAGTTAAAACACACCCCATTGTGTGTTTATGCACTGCAATGCTTGACTTTTCGTTCCAGCAACAGTCCACATTGCAGTCAGTCTGGGCTCCTGACTTCAAGGTCTCTCAGTAGGTTTCAATAGGCCGTGTTCTTAAACGGTTTCGACAGCTGTTCTGATGCTGTTCAGATAAAGAAGTCACATTCGTTTCTGGTCATAAGGATTTTGCACAACCAATAATCACTTCTTTTACACCTACAGTAGATGTGCTAACTCATGAAATGTCAACCAAAATTTCGAAATGTGTTCTCGTTTCGAAAATATAAATTAAGTAGTCTTGTAAAAACTAATCATGTTGCAGCATAAATCTATAATATTCCAGTTACCACAGGGTTTCGGCTTTCGAAAGAACTCATTTCTGGCTGCATGCATGATTTATACTCTTCAAAAAATTACTGCTTTAGTAGCAATTTTTTGAAGAGCATAATTCGGTTTTAAAAAAATTTCTAATTGTGAGCTTTTTTAATACCGTTAAATGGCCGTTCATAAAACGTCATGTATCTGCACTTACGAATGTGGCTTGTAAAGTTAACAATATTGTTCAAATCCACTGCTTAATTTTATGAACCTCATATGGTCTCCTCTTAACACCGTAGAGAAATGCATGGTTTTCCGTACACGGAAAATATAAGGCTTGTAGTTTTGAAACCCTGAATGCAAGTGTAACAGCAGGTCGGGTTCAAAATTATTCGGAAATTAGAAAGGTTTTTTAAAATCGAATTATACTCTTCTTTTGAATATGAAGTTGGAAGAAAACGTGATTTTCTACCGAATAAGTAAAAGAATTAATATTTTTATGCATGCTTTCCATGAAATATAATTAAATTTTCAGGGGCATCGAAAATCAATGAGAAAATTGCATACTACTTAAGTAGTCATTTTTTGCAGAGTATAGTTTCTGCGTGTAGTCGGAAAGAAGTTCTTTCGAAAGCCGAAACCCTGAGGTAACTGGATCATTATAGATTTATGCTGCAACACGATTAGTTTTACAACACTACTTAATTTTCCTTTTGGAAACGAGAACGCATTTCAAAATTTTGGTTGACATTTCATGGGTTAGCACATCTACTGTATATACAGCTGCTTGATAATCTCTTTAGCGTCTGAACTGCCAAGCATCTTTCAGACGACTCCCAGAACAGACCAGAAGCCGGCATGTTCCCACTTTGTCGGAAACGAAACCCTCGAGACGCGCTCCCCACTCCATCTTATCCGGCCAGTCTCCGAGGGTGAAATAGTCAACTTGGAGGCAATGGAACAACTCCTGTGTAGAGTTTACTCCAAGCACTTAAAAATTTCGCCATGCACTCTGCCCCTGCTCATCAGCGAGTCCGTCTTTCCCAGCATCAACTCGCGTCGCCGACTTTTGGAGCTGGCCTTTGAGTCGCTCGCAGTACCCGCCCTCTATACACTCAGCTCCGCACCTCTGGCACTCTTCTCCACACGTCGAACCTCCGGAGTCGTGCTGGACAGTGGAGAAGCCTTCACGGCTATTGTACCCATTCGGGACGGTCAGCCGGTGCACGAGGCCACCTTCCTCTCAACCCTGGCTGGTAACTTTCTAACGCAACGTCTCCGCGACCTACTGGCTGTCAAGGGCCACTATCTGCAGTCGCCTGCAGACCTGGAGGCCCTCCATGACATCAAACAGCGTCTGTGTTATGTCTCCGCGGACTTCTACACCGAAAGCATCACCTTTTCTCCGCGAGCCTGTTCGAAGATCTATGAGTTGCCGGACGGTCGAACAGTGCCTCTGGGGGAGGAGCTCTTCGGCTGTCCGGAGGAGTTGTTTGGACAGACACTGACGGCTGCCTGCCCTCCGTTTGCGGTTGGCCTTCCAAACATCCTGAGCGAGGCAATCGACAAGTGTGGTCCCGAGTTGGGCAATCTCATGTCGGAGAATGTGGTCCTGGCGGGCGGTTCGACCCTCTTTCCGGGATTTGTTGAGAGGTTGGGGAGGGAGTTGCGTAGACGCAGTCCTCGGGGACGTCCAATCAACATATACGCGCCTGAGGAGAGGTTGAATACCGCTTGGCGTGGAGGCTCGGCAATGGCAACTTTCGCGAACTTTCAAAAATTCTGGCTGACTCCGGAGGAATACCGGGAGCAGGGCTTTTCCCGTCTGGACAAATACTTTCACTGAGTGGGATCATTATTTCAACCCAATTGTCCTTATATTTTAATTGTCTTGATATGCAGACCCTATCTTGTTCGGTTGTACATTTTTACTAGGAGTGAAGAATTAAAGAGATTAATTCACTTCCACGTCGAGAACATGTCTGGCCAAATCGTCTGTCAGATGCAGCTGGCGTCAAGAGAAGAACCCACTTATTACGACTTTCAGAGAGATCTTGAGTAGGAGGAAAAGTTAGGTGCCAGTAGGTGGAGGATTGTGTTCTGCGAATAAGTCGGAGCGAGTTGGCATCCGGATAGCTGTGATCGACCAAGCAACAGACAGCCTCTACGTTTCAGGGATTACCCAGAATCGATGAGAACATCATTCGGGTTCTGAGAGTGTCAGGCGAACTATTCCCGCCGATGGGTACGTGAATGTATGCGTCCGTTGGGAGCGCAGAGTTGCGGTAAAAGCCCAGAATAGGATCAGTATATGTCTTTTCGAGGAGTACTACTAAGTAAATAAACGCTCAGCTTGTGATTAAATGCTTTTGCTGTGTCTGGTATCAATGTGTCTCAAGAATGACCAATCCAGGCGCCGACAACGCGTCTTGAGATAGAGGACCTACGCACAAACATGAAATGCTATATAGACAGTAATACTATAGCAGTTATAAGTTGTCAAGTCGGAGCGTTAAGACGGTATCGGTCGGGTGACGTTATGATATGCAGTGGTATACTGATTCGGCTTGCGCTTAAAAGCTTCGACGGATGCGCACATGACGATATCTGCAAACATAACATTCCAAGCCTCAACCATTCTGTTGGAGGAGAACTTCCCTGTGTTTAGCCTTATGCCCTCGGAGTTTCGGTTGCCATCTCAAAGAAGCCAGCAGTCCTGACCGCACATGATAAGGAATGTTTGTGTCAAGTTGCCTCTTAGCCGCTGAGTTTGAATAACCGTGTTCCGTGGGGCAGCGAACTCTGTCCACTAGAGAGTTTGGTTGCGCGTCGATAAGGTGGACTTACGTAGCACACCGGAATGAGACAGTCAGATTTTTATGTTTCAGAACACAACTGATGATGGATTTATCTTCACTGACCGACAGGCAGATCACCAAGGTTCGCTTGAGGAATTTCAGTTATTCGGCTAACCACGATATGTGCAATTTCTGCAGTTGGGGCATTATTTACGGTTGTTAAATGAGGCAGGTTTTCCCGTGAACCATCCAGCATTGCCACGATAACAATTTTAAAGTTTGTACATCTATGGCTAGCAAACCCTCAACGAACTAACATAATAATTTTGGTCAAACACAATTTGCGAAAGAGGGGGATTCAAATTATGAGTAAAAATGATGTCATTTTTAAAGTTTAGGCAAAAGTCACTCTTTCTCGGACTGGTCAGTCAGTGTTCAAAACGACACTGGGCACACAACTTGACTTAGGCCTCCAATGTTCTAACGTCAAGTGGACCAGACGATAAAGATGCGACCACTGGATCAAGAAAATTATTGGTCCGACGTCCCAGATTCTGACTCGAACTTATCATCAGAGATGGTCGCGAGGGGCCTCCTGTAGTTATAATTCACCTAGTTCAAGTTACTGACTGGCCCGACGCAGCTGATCTTAACATTTTCAGGTCCAAGTAGTCGACTGCTAACTTCTGAGCTAGGCATCTTATTACACCTCTTTTTAACTTTCACTCCCTCGACACTTCGACCGTCGTTACTGACGATGTCCACTGTGTACTCCACATCAGGATGGGTTCAGGGACGGCGACTGCACACTAATTAGCTTATTGTGATAATAGACTTGCGCTTCATCTACTACATTCTACCCTCCTCCGTCACTTAAATCTGTTGTCATGGCAGAGTCAAGACGATCGGAGGCGGAATCGGAAACAGGTGGCTGGCGCGGTGTGGAACCGCGCCTTGGCGTGTCACCGTACCCCACGTGTGGGTTCGCAGCCCGATTACGCATGCCGGACCCTGGTCTGGTTACCCCATGATGGTCCAGCTCAACTCCCAGAGGACACTATGTTACTGAAAATAAACATTCGACGAGTAGTGATTAAGGTTTGCTGACAACAATGTTATTAAAAAAAGAGATTTTACAGGATACTCCTGCTGTTCCGGCAAAGATTGCTGGATTCAAATTTCGCTTCATATTATCCGGTCACATTTTGCCATCGACTAGGCCTTGCGCTTTCCAGTCAAACTCATTATTTTGCGTAAGGGTCAGCCGTGTCTCCAGTAGTACTGGCTGCGTGTCCTTAACTCGAACGCAAAACCAACGGACAGAAGTACGGACGTTATGGTGACATTTACAGTGCTACTGACCCAGTTATCTGCACTTTTACTTTCAGTTCATTATTCATGTCAAAACTCTTGACGCTGAATGCAACGCATATTTTGCTACTAGGGTGAAAATGTCAGTCTTAGCGATTACCAGCGGTGTGTTCTCGAATCACTTTTGGAAGCCCTTTCGTGGAGCGTAATTTATTCAACCATGCCAAAACTTTACGACGAAACCCTCATTGCTCAGCTGAATTAAAAAGTCGGATAGGTCGGTGTCTGTGATGGCATTCGTTCTTCCAATTGCGGCAGTCTTCGATGTTCCCCTTAGTTCTGATCCAAAATTACCATCGTAACCCTACCAGAAAATGTTTACTTAAATGTAAGAAGTAGTAAGTCTTTTGTGATAAATCGAAATGTTTTATTTGCCACCGACTACAGGAGAGTGTCTGAAATAGCTTGCAGAATTGGGAAAGAAGTTATAAGCAGTTAATCGTGGGTTTGTGCTGACAGCTTAGAAGCACTTGCGATGAACAATTCCAGGACCCGACTCGTCGTACTCCTGCTTGGAAATCCACATCTGCTGGAAGGTCGAAAGGGAGGCCAAGATGGATCCACCGATCCAAACCGAGTACTTACGCTCGGGCGGAGCGACAATCTTGATTTTCATGGTACTGGGCGCCAGGGAGGTGATCTCCTTCTGCATGCGATCAGCAATTCCAGGATACATGGTGGTGCCACCCGAGAGGACTGTGTTAGCATACAGGTCCTTACGGATATCAACATCGCACTTCATGATGGCGTTGAAGGTGGACTCGTGAATACCGGCAGATTCCATGCCTAGGAAGCTGGGCTGGAAGAGAGCCTCCGGACAGCGGAAACGCTCATTACCAATGGTGATCACCTGACCGTCGGGCAGCTCGTAGCTCTTTTCGAGGGAGGAACTGGAAGCAGCAGTGGCCATTTCCTGTTCAAAGTCGAGTGCCACGTAGCAGAGCTTCTCCTTGATGTCACGGACGATTTCTCGCTCGGCCGTGGTGGTGAAGCTGTAGCCGCGTTCAGTGAGAATTTTCATGAGGTAGTCTGTGAGATCACGACCGGCCAGATCGAGACGAAGAATAGCGTGAGGCAGGGCATAACCCTCGTAAATGGGTACGCTATGGGTGACACCATCGCCGGAATCGAGCACGATACCGGTGGTACGACCGGAGGCGTAGAGCGACAGCACGGCCTGAATGCCGACGTACATGGCCGGGGTGTTGAAGGTCTCGAACATGATTTGGGTCATTTTCTCACGATTGGCCTTTGGGTTGAGTGGAGCTTCTGTCAGGAGGACTGGATGCTCCTCGGGGGCAACTCGCAGTTCGTTGTAGAAGGTGTGATGCCAAATCTTCTCCATGTCGTCCCAGTTGGTGACGATGCCGTGTTCGATGGGGTACTTCAAGGTGAGAATACCACGCTTGGACTGGGCCTCATCGCCGACGTAGCTGTCCTTCTGCCCCATACCAACCATGACGCCCTAAACAAGTTCAAAAAGAGAACAGCGTCAGCAAGATGACTAAGTTTCTTTTGTTGCTGTCTGTCAATCGTATAATGTAAGGTGGATCTAAATATGCGCATGAGAATATGATTATGCAACATAAATTGAATAACCGAGCAGCGCGCGAGTCTTGTGATTGATCACACAGGCGTCTGAGATAACTCTACAACTTGTAGAGATGATAAAAGACCCCCCGCATTCGGCCATTCTACAGCAGGAGTCTCTTCTTCTGAGTTAACCCTTAATCCTTCTGTTTAAAGATAGAAAAACTCGTATGTTCATCCCAAAGAAACTGTTTGAGTCCACTTCACACCAGCAGTTTCTCAGCTCAGTTGGATTATGAAACCACTGTCCATGTGCCCCTTCCATACCGCATAGGTGTTGCTTTTAAGTAAAAAAAAACACAGGACTTCACCTGTCAAAATTCGTATGAAACCGCCTTCGGACTGGAGCCAAGTTCTTTCCCCAACCTGACACCGAACATTCCCCCGGACAGAGACGAATGCTCGAGACTCCGGTGAGGCAGAGGCAGGATTACCGATCACGGAAATTACTTTTTTCATCTGACTCAACTCCTAAAGTCGTAAGGGAGTCTAGCGTCGGTGCTAAGGGACTCCCTAGAAAAAGGCTTTAAAATGGGAAATCCTAATTCACACTGCATGCACAAACAGTCCTTCATTAAAAATTACGTCACCCATTTCAAAAAAGGGTGTGGGCAGGTGCAGACAGGACACAGAGGCTTCATTACTGCGACACTTACAAAAACCACATCTCTTACGGACGCGGTTTCAAGTGCCTTTAGCCTTATTTCCACATGGTTGGAGCGCACCCTCAGGATGTACAAGTGATGACACCAAACTTTAGCACTTTAACAAAAACAGTGGGTGGAAACGGATTGCAAGAGTAGTTGATCTCACCTGGTGACGTGGGCGACCAACGATCGAGGGGAAGACGGCGCGGGGCGCATCATCCCCGGCGAAACCGGCCTTGCACATGCCCGAACCATTGTCGATAACGAGAGCCTGCACTTCTTCGTCTCCCATGGTGTCCTACGAAAAGGTCTGCGAGGTGTCCGCTTACCGCTGAAGTGGTCCTTTTATAGGGACCACCGTCTGCTGACAAATGACCATATATGGCAGTTTCCTCAGCACACACACACGCTCCCGTCTCTGTTATTGGCGGCAACGGCAGCGGCCGTGCTGCCTTCTCTCCCATTCACGTACTCGCAGCACACACACACAACCCCGTGACCTAAGGAAACCGGTCGTGTCTCATCCCACTCCGTGTGTCTGTCCGCCCCCTACCCCCACCACCACCACGCCAGCTCCCAGGCCATCACTGCCTTAACGAAGATGCGGCCGTGGGAGGCTGTGTTTGCGGCTCGCGTGCACACTGCGATATGGATACGCGTGCGCTGAGGCCCTGGCTGAGATTAGGACGTCCGCGCGTATCATCCCCCCCCGCGGACCAGTGCGCTTGCCAAATGCAAACGCCGGTCGGGCCGCATACACACCCATGCACGCACCGCCACTGCAACTCTGTGCTGCGGCCCCGCTGAGAGTGAAAGAAGGGAAGCGGCTCGGGAAGGCCGTCCTACCGAGCATGCAGACGAACAGCTGCTTTTTGTGCGTTTCTGTTCAAACGGCCGTTCTTACCTGCACAGTGCTCGCCTCACTTCAGTGCTTTAACGTGCAGGGAACATCCTGATAACATGCCGAGGGAGAAACTGATTGAAAGAAGCTACACGGTATAGTCAACCCCCGGTTCCGACAGTTCTACCTGGGGTGAATTAGCCGAGTACATGAAAAAGTTGTTATTGTGAGGGAGAAAACGGGCTGACGTAGCTGTTTTCCCAATCTAACTATGCCGCAGCCGCTTTCATTTTAGTGGGTTGGGGAATTTGATCGTCAGTGTAACGAGGTCTTCAGAAGGATCAGACAAATCTAAGATGAGTCCTGCATCCGCGATGAAAATGACTGCATATTCAAGCAATGGGGGGTTATGGTAGCAGCATTGGTTTCACATGTAGTGCTGGTGGGGCTCATATAGAATTATAACCGTCGGACCAATTGGCGTCTTCAGTTTGACTTCCCGTAATATAACGGTTTTCGTGGTGGTGGTGGTGGTGGTGGTGGTGGTGGTGGTGGTGGATGCGATCGCTGAGACAAAAGTTTATGAAAAGCCAAGTTGACAAACATATGTTTCCATTAATACTTCGTCAGGCATGAAGAGATGAAAAAAGTCCGTGAAGTTCCCGTTCTCAAAACATCGTGTTTCCGCATTAACTAACGTTCCTTGTAAAGTTTACAACATGACTTAAATCCACTGCTGAATTTTTTGATCCCCATATCGTCTCCTACTAAAACCGTAGAGAATTGTATGATTTTCCGTACATGGAAAATATACAACTTGTAGATTGGTACCCCTAAATGCAAGTGTAATGGCACGTAGGTCTCAAAATAATTCGGGAACTGGAAAAGTTTTGTTAAAACCTAGTTATACCCCTCTTTCGAATACAGAATTAGAAGACGTAATTTTTTACCAAATATGCAAAAAAGAGAATATTTTTCTGAATCGTTTCTAGGAAATATATGGTCAGATGTGGTCATGCATCCCCACCAGGCGTAAACAAACCCTAGCCGCCTGAAATATGGGACGGTTGGTAATAGGGGTCTTTACAGGTGGGACAGGGGAAGGCACAGGCGACGCCGTCAAGTAGTTGTTTGCAAAAGAAAAGCTATTGGGTGTGCGTGGTTGTACTCTGAGTGGTTGAGAGATAGTTACCCAAACCCCTAACCATAACCCCGAACCCCAACCCCAACAGTATTGTGACCAACAGTTAGGGTTACATAACCACATCTTACCAAACATGTTTGAATTTATAAGGGCATAAAAATTCGCGGACAACTTCACGCTACTCAAAAGGTCACTTTTTACAGAGGGTAGTTTTTGCAGGCGGCCAGAAAGAAGTCCGTTCAAAAGCCGGCATCCTGAAGTAACTGAATTATCATGGGATTATGCTGCAAGGTAATTAACATTACGACCCTACTTAAGTAATAGTTTCGAGTCGAAGACGCATTTCAGAATTCTGGTTAACACTTCATACGTGAACACATCTACTGTAAGCATACTACGGATACTTAATCGTAAATAGACTCGTCGCACTGATGATCTTTCCATGAAAGCATGTTATTACCGACAAAGAGAAGGGAGACTGGAATGGCCATTTCTGGCTTATTAGCCGTCGTCAGCCAGTCATACCCAACCCCGAAGTGTGGAACCCCGGAGGTTCTAACTCACAACCTGTTAGTTAGAAGTCCATGCCTCTAACCACTGGGCCACGAGCCCGTTGCCCTGTCGGTTTCGATCGGGAATATACAATGGCAGGGACGTTCACCGAGGTCAAGCCCCAGGTGTTCAACACTTCGGGGTTGGGTATGACCGGCTGACGACGGCCAATAAGCCAGAAATTGCCATTCCAGTCTCCCTGGTCTTTGTCGGTAATAACATACTGCCTATATTCTGCGCCGCTGTGCGGCTGCTGGTTAAGCTCGAGAGAGAGAGAGAGAGAGAGAGAGAGAGAGAGAGAGCGAGCCCTTAAGGCACAACGGAACGAGTGAGTTCCGTAAGAACGATCGGTGAGCGCCCCTTACCACTTCCCATGAAAGTGGCCTAGAGGCTTGGTGACTAGGATCACTTTAAACAGTTTCATATGAAAAGGGCGTTAGAGAGGACGTCCTGTTTTCTAGGCGACGACAGGTGTCACACAGAAACCCTCGCAGGTAGCCCCGCGTCTCCGACAAAAATGCAGCGCCGTCATCCGCTAGGACGTGCCCAACTGAAGGTTGCAGCAAAACCGACTCCTGCCCCCGGCGCCGGACCGTCAGCACGTCCCTCCGACGTGGCCGCCAAACGGGATGTGAAGGCGACCTTAGCAACAGGCCTTTGGCCGGAATGCATGACTCATGGGCCTCGGGACGCGTGTGTGTACATCCTGTGGCGAAAACATTCTGCAATGACGTGGTCCAAGTCACCTGGCCACCTAGCAGTCAGACTTTTCTAGGCTGTTTGGGTGTTCCCCCCAGGAAGATTGCATTCACTCGGGAGTCCCCACCCCTACAGACTGCCATCTCCGGACAATCAACTTGCAGCGTCCGCTTCTGGGCTGTCATACTTGGTTCTCACGAAGGGCCAAGGCACCTTGTCGTTTCCCAGTTCTGCTGACCAGGAATCTGTTCATTTATCACACGACTAGGAAAACGGACATGTGCAGAAGACACATCAAAGTGAAGTAGACGAGTAACTTTGGGACCGAGGCAAAGTTCGGTTTTGCGACGCACCAACCGCGGGAAAGAGGCTCTAAGCAAGCGAACCGGTGAGATCCAGGGAACAGCTGAGGAAACGGAGATACGATCGTTGAAACGCAAATTGCATTCGCCTGACGGTTAAGATTATCACTCGAACCCACTGTCAGAGGCGGCTGTATATATTGGTAATGGACGCACCGGGGTAGCAGTACTCAAAGCATGCAGTTGCCATGTGACCGTACATCTGCCATAAGTAACAGCTCCCACATCCGGCCCCGCTGATCGTAATTGGTGCTTGCTCATTCGCATCTGAGTTGTCAATTGCCGCAATTGCATAGCTGGCTGTGTGTGCCCCAAAAACGGGCCACGTGGTAGATTGCGCTGGACCAACACGTGGGTCATATCTGACTATGGCAGGCGTTATCCGATTTGCGTACGAGAGAGAGAAGAGAGGAAGTCGCTTTATTTTGAAATCGTAAGTTCAAAATTTTCAGCAAACAATTGGCTCCATTCACTACGGGCAGTAAGTACGTTAATAGATTATTCAAGAGTCAAAGTTTAACACAAAGAAACGATTATTATGAGGATAGTTCAAGTCTTAGCTTCTGTATTTCTATCTCTTTGCACGTAAGATAGCGCGCTAGGAATGGCAATACGAAAGCTCGATAAGCCGATGTGCGACAGGATATAAGTCGGAAGCTGCGGCGCATCGGGCGGGAAGACCTCGCAGAAATAAGATCAGAATGTAAGGGATGGGCAGCGTCATCTAGAATTCGACCAGCAAATTGCTTGACCGCATTGAAGTGTCGTTGTAAGATAGTGTCAACTAAAATAGGTAAGAAACACCAGTAGCAGAAGAGAGCATACGGAGGAATCGTTTCAAAATTAAAAGATCCTTTTTAAACAAAGCAGGAAAAATGACAGGGGAGCAGTATAGGATAAGAGGAAGAATGCAGGCATCGATGAATCGCCAGACTAAGGGTTGAGGTGTATGATAGGAACTTAAACGACGTATGTAGTAAAGAAGTTTACGAACTTTAATAAATAGGGACCCAATATGGAGGGAAATGAAAGATTTGAGGACGTCAAAGACATTCAACTGACGATCGTGGACAAATTTGCCTACGTAGGGAGCACAGTTTCACGCCGGATCAAAATCGACGACAAACTGGCCCACTGGACCTCCAAAGCCAGCTAAGTCTTCGTCTGGTTGCAGAACCTCCAATTGTCACGATCTCCACCTCAACACCGTCGGTTATCTTGATGACTTTGTTGTGCGACACGGAAACTTGGGCAGTCTACGAGAAATAAGCGCGGCAACCCAATCACTTCCATCTCCAACGGACAGGGTCCCAGGCACAGAGGTTTCGATAAGGACTGGAATGGGCAACAATTCCCCAGCATCCGCGTCATACTGAGGCGACTGTAACTACGATGCAACGATCACGTGTCAGAATGGACGATGAACGCGTACTAAAACAATTTGTTTATTGGAGATTTTGTCACCACCAGTGTTCTCCGACAAGGAAGTCAAGATAGTCGCCATAAGGAGACCTTGAAGTATCCCGAAGACACGGGAGGACCTCGCACAGAATTGACCGGCCTGCAGGAGGACAATGAAAATTGGAGCATCCCTCTGGGAAGTTAATCGGATCGCCGCTCTCAAAGCCAAACGTCGGTCGATGATTGGGCCTACGTGCCTTATAACTGTCGCCTATCCTGTTTCTGCCACTACC